TTATTTTTATCTTGTTTTATTTTGTTATGCTTGTGAAGTGTCTCCTGCAACATGTTAGAAGTAGTCAAACTGCAGAAACTGTTTCAGTTAATAAAATCTGGTCCTGTGTGTTTTACAGTGAATTAGTTATGTCAAATTCTTTAGTTCATGTTATGGATTAGAATAGATTATTTTCAAGAATTACATACTATGTTCTTAGCTATGGAACATTATCACGAGTTAAGCAACTGAAGTGTGAATAAGAAAGATATTTATGGAGGAAAGCCTAGATGGCACTTAAAATGAGAAATAAGTATATATAAGAGTAGAAGTTATACCGGAAGCCAAAAGGACATTACTGTTGCAGCTAATGCAAAGACTGATATCAAAAGACAAGGTAAAAAATATGGGAATCTGCAAGGTAGAGAACAAACAAATAAACTTCTTAAATAACCAGATAGAACCAGACCAACCAAAATCTTCTCAATATTGAAAGTTGAGAGTAGTTAAACGTACAGAACAGGAAGAATGTCGCTTACCTCCCAAAAAAGGATTCTTTGGAAAATATGCTTGGATATTTTTCTGCTGGCTAGAAACAACATAAGTGCACAAGAATTGTTAGTCACTATACTGTACTCATAATAATTAGAAAAACAGTTTTAATAAGTAGAGCTTCTAAAAGCTTATGTAAGCTGGTTTTGACACAAAGTAGGACATCTTTCAGGTTCAAGTCATGAAGAGACGTTAAACAAATGGTGCGTTGTTTTAATAGCAAGTCTATTATGCAAAAGTTGTCAGGTACCATGGATGAGATGAAAATTGTTCCTGGATAGTTTCCTCACTATGAGTAAGGGTGTTACAATATCTGGTGGAGTATTCAATTGTTTCACCTTGTGTATGTTGCACGAGTGCAACGCTAGAACCTCTTAGGATTTCCTTCAGCACATCTTTCATCTTGGATCATGGGAATTGGGAGGACATTAAGCAAGTATGCAGTGTATTACTGCAACTTTAACATGCAATAATTTCTAGTAATCGTGACCAAAACTAATTCGTTTAACTAACCACTTATATGAATTTTTGTCCAATACCATATATGAATCAAGTCAGATGAAACACTTCTTTCGAGAGAGATAGTTTTCAATCATCACTACTTTAAAAGTTATCACCAACAATTCCACTATGAGAAGTACTGTACCTGTGCAAGATAACCTCCAATAGCAGGACCAATCACCAATCCTATTCCCCATGACGTGCTTACCTAAATAAATAAGATGCTTAAAAACATTTTATGGCATAGGATCTCAGAGCTATGCAAAAAACCTGTTAAAAGGAAAAGAGAGACGACAGGAAGGAGAGAAGCAACTCACAGCAGATATCCCCAAAGCGTGGTACTCTTTTCGGCAAATTTCAGAAGCATAAGCCTGGAGATATTGTACAACTAAACAAGTTGAATGCTTCCATTAACAATGCTCATCATACTCTTAATTGTATAAAAAGAAGAGCACAAGAAAGGTAGTACTAAATTAGTTTAAACAGGTAAGTAAAAACTTATAATACAAACCAGAATGTCAATCCTGAAAAAATAAGATGTTAATAGTTGACATAAAATTCCACATAGCAGTAAAGACATACCCGCATTGTGCCTATTATCCCGCACAAACTGCCTATAAGGAACCTTGTAACTATCGCCATCCAATAATTGGTACTAAGGCCAAAGAGTGCATTGAAAATAAGCCTGCAGTTGATACCTCATATAAGAAATTAAAAGCAAACTTGAATGAAATTGCACAATTGAATCATAGCTGAATTTTTATGTTAAAACAAAAATCTTATGCATGAGGACAGTGATTAACCAGCACTATACTAACACTGTAATTGTGCCAATCACAACAACTGGCTTTCGACCATAACGATCAGCAATTATTCCCCAAAGAATAGAGGTCAAAGCTCTTCCCAACATGAAAGAAGAACCTTCAAGAAATGACAAAGATGTAAGAAGGAAAACACTGAAGTTACTCAGAAGCAACGATGGACCGATGGTAGACTGACCTAGATATCCAGCATAATAACTAATATCTTCCTCCCTTTCCGCAATGTGAAAATCTCTTACCTGTGGGAGTCAAATGTCAATATTTCCACAACCATAGTGTAGAGACTAGCAGATCAAGAATCACAGACAAGAAGAAAGGAGCTATAAACGACTAAGACACAAGGAAGTTGCTTGAGTAGAATATAAATGATTTAACTTGATGAGAAGCTCTATGTGCAAGTTAATTATTTCCAGTACTATATGGTGTCACCTATAAATGATAAGTTTCTCCTACTCAAACTTCTCTATGTATTCGGCTGGTATATCTGGTTATTTGATGTATGGCAAGAAACTAAAATGAGTTTGCTCAATTGAAAAAAAAAACATTCTAGTTCCAATGAAAGTGTGATTCTCTGGTTTTGTTAACATTAAACTACTACTAAAAAATCTTCGTTTGCAAAGAGAGACAGTACATTGGTGCTTCTCATTACATCACATACTTGTACCTGACCAAATGTTGATTGTCTAATTAAGTTGATTTCTCCACATTTTCATTCGTAATTTAGTTTAACCGCGTGTTCTGGTTTGACATGATACAACTCTGCTACTGCCTAAAGAGGCAACTCTTGATAATGCTTCATTCGTATTTAAGCACCCTAATGCACTAATTAACCTTTTATAGTAGGCGAAGAAAGTTAAATACAATACCGATACCATATCAAACACATTATCACAAGATCATTAAGCTCATGAGTAACATAATGGATATATACCATAAAATAGAGGAAAGGGAAGAGAGATGATATCGGCAAAGCTGCAAAAGATTTGAGAAGAGACAGTATGTTAGTGGAAAATCGTGAACCAAATCTAATGGTGCTGGAAAACAAAACGCAAACAAGTACTGTATAGTCATAATATGTCTTAGAATTTGTCCATGGATATTCATAAGCTCAAAAACAAGGCAACCATAGTCCAAAATCTCTACAATTTGCATCATCATCAATATTCCACTACTTAAACAAAAATATATATATTTTTTTGAATTATTAACTACTTATTCAAAATTATCTTCAAAAAGAGAATTAGGATCAAAACATTTACTATTTGTACAGATGTAGACCAAGCGTTTACTTTGCTTGGGACGATACAGTATAAACAAATTCTCCTATAACACATACAATTGTTAAAAGAAAAGTACAAACAATTAAAATTGTCACACTTAAATATCAACAAAATAATAGCCAGTAGTCTCACAATCAATAAGACAATGGCATTTATATATATATGCATGAGTTTTAACTAATAAACGACGATAAATGGATATAGAATTCAGGCAAATAAACACAAGAATGGACAAAGAGTGAAGGCAAAAACGTTTTATGATATTAGAGAAAGTGACATACATGCACATAACGTAACAACGGAGATGAAGAGGACAGGTTTAACAGGGATGCCATTGTTTGATCGTTTTAACTGTTCAACTTTGCAACCTGGACAATCTTCGTAATTGTTCAACAACCCCTCCTCCATTGTCTTCTTCAAACTAAAACAGAGTCCAACAAAAAGATATATACACTATTTATCTCTAAACCTTACGTATGCATGATATGTGTGTGTGGGAACAAAAGAATTAGTTAATTATAAATCAGGGTAGTTGGAAGATCCAAATCATAATTGATTCTGTATTATTGCACATGTATTTCATTCAATAAACCAGTATAGCATAATAATACTCTATGTCAATGATGCAATAATTCTGGAGTATTAAGTTTCTTGAAACAACAAAGTAATTCAGACAAAATTAAATGCCTATTTGAGTATGTCTCCATCGATGTGTGCACCATATTTTTATATTATAATAGTGTTTAGATAATATTGTAGACGATAAAATTCACGTCGAGAAAACAATGATCAAGAAAAAAAGATTATAGCTTCAATCGTTTTATTATTTCGAGTGTGACTGTTACAATCTCTATGATTCCTTTCAATTCGCCTTTTCAAATATAATTTAAGGGGTCTTGAACTTGGGATTTATCTTGATCTCGATCTTGAACTTAGACTTGATCTTGACTTCAGATCTTGAACTTGGGATTTATCTTGATCTTGATCTCTATCTCGAGCTTGGATTTGATCTCTATTTTCATCTATTTTGAATTCTCATTCGAGCTATCTGGCGGTCTTGATCTTTATAGTTCTTGAAACTTGAATACTTGAGAATTCTGGCGGTTTGAATAATTGAATTCTTGTAGAGAAATTCGACGGTCTTGATCTTTATCATTCTTGAAACTTGAGTACTTGAATTCTTGTAGAGAAATCCGACGGTCTTGATCGGACAAGTTTTCTCTAGTGGAGTTGCGATGACATGACATATGAGCTTTATGGAGAGGCTTTAACTAAATTCATATTTATTGAATTTAAATATTAAATCAATTATATTAATTCATAATATTTATTTGGACTAATATATTCATTATTTTAATATAATTCGAACAATTTCATAAATTTGAATTGATTACATATAATGACCAACAATATTTATTTCTTTTTAAAAAAATATTTTCGTCAACTTATGTATTATTATGTGACATATACAAAACAAGTTTTACAATATTCACTAGTACGGTCCATATATATATATATTGTTTCTTCAAACAAGTTTAGCTTTACGCTTCCTAACTGTTACTACTTCAAAAAATGCCAAAATTTCAACCCAATAATATATTCTTCCAATTATATTTTTTTTCATCACAACCCAATAATTGAATTGTCTCCAGTCTTGTATCATTCCAAATGGGATCGATCAACAACCCCTTGCGTCGTTTAGCCAAACAAAAAAATTAACAAATATATCTTGAATAACGTGTCCTATAATAATGTTATTAGAAAAAAAAATTAGGAAATACATAATTATCCATGGAACTTATATTTTTTTTTCAAGTAGACATCGTAAGTTAAAGGGGTCCTATCACCCCACGAAACCATCCAAAAGCGCAATTAATATATCATTCTGACCCGTTTCAAACCCATCAGTGCTCTCACGCAGGTTGGGCGCGTCAAGAAGTAAAAGAACAACATCCAACCAATTTTAAAACGACATTTGACATTTCCAATTTGAATTAGTTTCCTCACTAAATAGATCCACTCCTTCCTTCCCAAAATTCTCAATTGTTAGCCGCTGGAGATTGCAATTTCTCATTTTGATTCTTTTTTTTAAAAAAAAAAAGACTGTGAAATCAATTTCCTGTGATTAAGTTTTGAGAGAGAGAGATGTCAAATGCAAGCTTGAATCGCATTTGTAATGATGTGAACGATCCAGTGTTGCATTTAACGATGCGATGTAACATGGAGACTTGATGCAATTGCAGACTTTGTGGTCTGAGACAACCCAGGTAGAAGTTTTTGGTCCTGTCCAGGCTTTTGTGTAAGTTCGATACAAATTTCTCTATTGTTTTTTGTCTCAATAAATTCACTGTGTATGGCCCTTTTTAGGAAAATTCATGCAAGTACTCTAGATGGAGGGATCTTCAGGAGATCGATATCCGATTCAAGTCTGTTATCCAAGATTGGCAAATAGAATTAAGGAATTGGAAGAAGCATTATAATTCTATAAAATTAAAGAGAAGAAGATGAAATTGTTGGAGAAGAAAGGTGATCAAATATGTCATGATAAGCTAATCAAGAAGAAGATGATGAAATGTAGCATCTTGAATTGGAAGCTTATCATAGTGTTTGTCGCAGTGTTTTTTCTGATTTTAGGCATTAAAAGAATGTGAATGTTGGAAGATGTAGTTGTATGCCATTGGAATTGCCTTAGTTGTTGTTTGTTGTTTTCGTTTATGTTTGGTTGTTTAATACATTGGAAGTTTGTCTGGTTTAAGGAAACCTTATTTGGTTGTGTAATACATTGTTGTTGTCGTTGATGTTTGGTTGTGTAATACATCTATGTTGTATGATATCTTATGATCATTTAACAATATACAACGTTGTAATCTCTTCTACCAACTTTCTTTCATACTTGATCAAAAGAGACTAATCATAATAACAATCTTTGTGACAAAATAAGAAATTCGTTGTTTTCATTCTTACTGAAAGTTTGAAGTTGATACAACTTGATTAGTTGTCACAGAGAAGAAATTTGCATAAACAAACTTGACAAAACACAATTGATACCCAATAATACACCAAAATATAGTTTGGTATAAAGAAATGTGTACATAATACAATAATAACCAAACATTAAAAAACAACAATTCCAAAGTCAACTATTTCTAAGTAGTTGAATTGATTTGGTTTTCATTAGTAGCAGCAGTTGCAAACCCTGTTTGAATTCTTTTTTCACCCTTCATTTGTTGAAGCCTATTACTCATAATGGCTAATTTCCCTTTCATTTCACTCCAAAACGTGGTTGATAACCAATATCTCCAGTAAGTTCATCAGACCTCGTTGAAGCTTTTGTACCAATGTCAACAACCCTACTACCTTGCATATCATGTAGCATAAATAAACCATAAAGGTTAATAAAAATATATGAAAAACCATCATCGCCAACAAAAAATAGTTGTACCTAAATTAGCAGTTGTAAAACCATCTTCACCAACCAATACTCCAAATCCTATCATCATTGGCCTTTTAAAAGGTCTTGAAGATTGTCCACCATTACTGCCTTCATTCTCATGATTTCTTTGAGGCATACCTTTTCCTCTGCCTCTTCCTCTGTTCGTGCCTTCGTCATTGTTTCCATTACTTCATCTGCCCCTTCCTTTGCCTTTTTTTCTGTCTCTTCCTTGAGGCATTGCTTGTGTGTTGTGCTGGCTTTCTTGAGGTGTTGTGTTGGCTTTATTGAGGCATTACATGTATGTTCTCTTGGCTTCCTTGAGACACCCCCCTTCCCTTGGATCTTCCTTTCCATGTTTCTCTACCATTTTCATTGGTCTGATTATTATAACACAACATATTGGTATATATTCAACTAAATATTAATGACAATTAATACAATTACCTATGGTTGAGTATAAGTTATTGCATTTTGAATTGGAATAGATGGAGGAATAGGACAACCTCTTTTATTGTGGCCCTTTGTATGACAATTGCTACAAGTCATAACAACTCCACATTTGTTAAACTTACCAGTTCTCTTTGTTTCATTTGCCTCTTTTCTTTTGGCTTTACTTGTCCTTCCAGGCAACTACTAAATTTCTGGTAGTCGAACTATTGAATTAACAGATGTGGCGACATACCCATATTGTTTATTGGCTGAATTATATATTCATATGTACTTAGATAGATTCTCTTGTTATAATAGTTGGCCACATAATTAATTGGTTCAAATTGCTTGTAGTGTAAGGCAACAACTCCATGAGGACAAGGTATGCCCTTAAGTTGCGAACCTCTACAACTACAACTGCGCCTAACAATGTCTACACAATGTGTAAGCCTTTTCTACAACTTCAAAATCCCTTTCTTCATTCCATGATATGTTACACTGCATTGACTTATTAATTTTTTGTTGTAAAATCTTGAAAGTCATGGGTGAAATATCAGTGACCCATATGTTTGAGAATTTCCCTAATTGACCAATTATTTTCATCATTTTTACCTTAATCTCCTCCAACATTGTAATGATTGTCTTGTATCTTGCAGACAATATCCATGAATTGAAGCTCTTTTTCATATTGTTATTACACAACCTATCTGCATTGTAGTACATAAAACCATCCAAGCAGTCCCTTCCTAATTTTCTTATAGTCTCTATGTGATTCCTCAATTCAGCTTCAAATGTAGATTTTGCAATCTTCTAGAAAAGATTTCTTTTCTATTCCCTTCCAATCTTTGCACTAATTTGCAAGGACGTGTCTAACACACATCCTGTGTTCATCAAGTGGTAATAAATCAAGCACAACAATTTCCAGTCCCTATTAAAGATAGAAAATAAACATGTAAAAGCGCTAATGTTAATAAAAAGTATATAAAATAAAAGCATTATTGTGAACCAAGTATTCAATAATAACCAAGGATACACCTTTTGTATATCAGTAATCAAGGTAAGTTTTTGTCCTTCTCCAAGATCAAGATCATCCTTCAGTAGAGTCAAAAATCATGCCCAAGTAAATTTATTCTCAACCTCAACTACTACCCAGGCAATGGGCAACATCTGATTATTTCCATCTTCGCAAACCGCCACCAATAACTGGCCTCTGCACATTTTTTTGAGAAAACATCAATCTAGGCCAATACATCTCCTAGTACCTCCAAAGTAAACTTTTTTTAAAGCATGAAAGCACACATAAGATTCTTCAAAGATTTTATGCCCAGTTTCAGTATTTTCTCCAACTTTAACAATACAAGTGCTACCTGGATTTGTTCTTAAAATCTCATCTCTGTAATAAAAAATTCTTCCTTATTCAACAATATGATCACCCATAATCTGTTTTGACACTCTAGCTCTAGCTCTTCTCAATGTTGTCTTTCCAACAAAAATATCCGATTCTTTACTACTAAGCTCTTGTAACTTGATAATTTTGATGTTTGACTGCTCACTTATTCTATCCTTATGTCTAGCCACTAGAAACCTTGAATTGCACAAATAGTTATGAATTGAAAACACACAAATATGGATAGGATTGTGCCTTTTAACCACAAGATATGTAGTTTGGCTATACAAACTTGCAATCAATAACCGAGGATAACCCTTTTTGCAGCAACTAACTCTGAATCTTCCAAGCTCATTCACATATTTCTCAATTTAAATTTTTTCTTGAACAATATATTTGGTTACAACTTCCCTAAATACTCTTACATTTGCAAACACCATACATAGTTCCCAAACAATCTTTTCAGAAGTTGGATTAAAAACAACTCTGTTTTTTTTCTTCTTTCTAACAATTTGTTCAACCTCTTCACCATCTCCCTAACATGTCTCTTCTTCTAATTCAAAGCTAGGAGCTTCATCACTTAGATAGTAAGGTTCATCATCCCCTGAATAACCTAATAAGTTATCCGTACTGCCAACTGTTTTACTTAAAAATATATAGTATTCAAAAAATGGCTAAGTTTCAAAAAATTAATTAATCTTATGATTTAAGAGAATTCAATTTCCGAATTAATAGAGTCGCCACTTAATTTTTTAATAAAATCAAGAAAACTTAAAATTATGTTTCAAAAGATTTAAAACAGATAAAAATCAGTTGAAAAGAGTACGAAGTTCAAATGTATATTCCGAGAAGGTGTTAGGCCCTCGGAATGCCTGCTAACTCGCGGTTGACCGACGATTTTACTAAAAAATGACTTTGACTTAAACTTCCACTTTGACTACATAAAGCTCCTTTTTAATTATATACTTATTTATCATTATTATTATTTTTAATTAATTATAAATGGATTATTTTTAGGAAATAAACTCAAGTTTCAAGATAACTAGTGAAATAACACATAAAGGAAAAAGAAATATATATGTGTGTGTATTTTATATTAAGCATATAAAAGAAATGACTTCTTTTAGGGATTTAATTAAATAATAATCAAAATATAAAAGAGTTGTCAACACAATAATAAATCAATACAAGAGAAAGGGAATATATTGTATAAATTTAAGAAATCCCATAGTGTAATACAATAATTACATTTTGTCCCGACAAATTTGGTATTTACTAATAATCCCTTAAAATTGTTATGGTGTGATACATTAGTATGTTGTGATACATGGTAAATGATACACAGTAACTTAAAACTGTTAATATTAAAAGGAGAAAAATGGAACATTTAAAATTTGTTATCTAAATCAGCTTAAATTACGATAACATTTCATTAATAAGCATTAATTCAGCACGTAGTTGGATAACAATTTCAAATTTTGAAAAAAATTCAAGATTATATCATCTAGTTTGAAGACATTTTTATGAACATCCAGTTATTAAACTTATTGACTGATACATGATAACAATTTTCAAAAACTCGTGATACATAGAAAATCATATGATATTCATCAAATTCATGTATCAATGCATCGTCTAAACACTATAACACACTGAGTCGATATGTATCAACAAGCACACTTGATGGCGCAGTTATTAAACTTATTAATTGATACATGATAACAATTTTCAAAAACTCTTGATATATAGGAAATCATATGATACACATCTAATTCATGTAGCAATGCATCGACAAACACACTATAACACACTGAGTACTTATGTATTAAACTTATTGTCTGATACATGATAACAATTTTCAAAAATTCATGATACATATGGGAATTCTTTACTAAAATTTTTACTAATTTCAACAACAATGATTGCTGCTTCTTTTCACTTTTTTTGGTGTATTTTGTCAACCTTTGATTTAGATGATTCGCCAAAATCTTTGTTTGAATCCTTCCAAACATTCATAGGATCATGCAAAGACTTTTTTCTATTTTCTTTACAATTTTCATCGTCCGAATCATAATTCCTTCTATTAGTAAAAGGATCCATTAATATGATGTAATAGAACAATGAACAAAAAAAAAGAACGGATGATGGAGTAAGAAGAAAAAGAAGACCTAGAGACGGCTGATGTAATATAGTAATGAACAAGAAGAAAAAAAGAAGAAAATAAGAACAGATGATGGATTAAGAAGAAGAAGAAGAACTATAGACGGATGATGGAGTAAGAAGAAGAAGAACCAGAGAACAATGGTCCAATTTTCAGAAATTTCAATTTTTTTTGAATTTTGAAATTCAAAATTTCATATTAAATGTTGTTAAACGTTTTTAATTGAAATTAATAATTCAAAATTCAAAAAGTGATTCAGAAGATTGAGTGTTTTAGTGGAGAAAAAATAGGCATGATATTGGGGAAGTGTGTGTTATAGGAGAGAGAAGACTATGTATCTCTAAACTTCTACTAAAATTTAAAAAAAAGAATTATGTAATATTTAAAAAAAGAAGGGAAAATTAGAGAATACTAAACTTATAGTTGTGTATTTAAGTTATTTTTCCAATATTAAATTTGGACTTTG